TCACGTTCTTATAACACAAAATTCAAAGAGGTATTTCTGATGCCATGTTGCAGGATTTATAAGAAAGCATATTCCTTGTTGCTCAGAGAAAAAAGGAAATAGATCAGCACCACCCTGGGAGCAGAGGGAAAGAAAAATAACAGGGTAGAAATAACGGCTTTTTCAGGAAAGAACAGACTAAAGGTGTCTATAACCTCTATGGAAAACTGCTACTAGAAAACAAACAAACAAAAAATAATCCCATAGTGATATTTTCTTCTCCAATAAGAAAAGAAAAACACATCAGAAAATCAAAAATGTGTTTAAGGTGCGACCACCCCAGGACAGGTCATTGTTTACTAACTCTTGGGTCAAACACTCATGGCACTTGGAGTAGCTTATGAAGAGAAGTCGGTGGAGTTACATCAGCAGACACACATGAATAAGGTATCAAAGTGCAACAGCGCTGTTAGGCCATTCCAATGCCTACATTAAAAGGTTGTGTTTACCTCCAGTAAACAGTAATTTCAGAGGTTTCTAACTTCCCTGGCATTTCTCTCCATACAGTTCAGAGCACAGCTTTGGAACTTTTATTTGGAAAACCAGATTTAGGCAGTTTCCAAAACCCATGCTGAAATTTTTACTTGTATCCTGTATTTCATTAAGCAAACAGGAGAAATAAAGTTGGCAAGATGAAAGCTCCTACAGGTATGCTGACAGGCCTTGTTATGGCAGACATGAACTCATCCTGCTTATGCTCCAAGGAAAAAGGTTTGCTCTCAGTGGACACAAAGCAGTGTAGCTGCATTATCATGACACAGAGCCAAATCTTGCCTTTTCAGCACCTCACCCTAGAAATACAGGCAGAGTAAGCCCATGCCAATGACCAAAAGGTAAGGTAGGCATTCCATCTAATTTATTGGGAGTGAGGGGTGGGATAAATTTTCCTTTACTGGCCAAATCTCATAAGGATCATAGAAAGCATGTATCTCCCTAAGTGAACATACTACACTGGTTTGTAACATTAGGTGTCCCACACAAAAAATGCAGGTGTGACAGTGGCCTCAGTGATAAAGCCTGCCCTTCGAAACTCAATTTTGAATTCCCTCCTTTAACCCTAACTACTAGCCAAGGTGGAAGCAATCATTTGCACAGTGAAGTTTATGCCATGCTAATAAAGCAAAGTGCCTCAATCCATTTATATATACCAGGTTTAAAACCAGCATCATCAAATTCAGAAAATGTACATTGCATTTTCAGAGTAGTTTCTACTAAAATGCACAGTACTTCTAAGCTTCCCTTGACCACTGCAGAACCAGAACTACAACAGGAGAATGAGCTTGATTCTCCTCAACTATTATCAATTAAGTTATTTAACAAGTTCCTGTCACACCTGTGTAAATTTATTGAAAACAATGCAATGTAATGGAAGTAATCTAGAAAGATTAATGGGTTGGTACTGCTCAGAGAACTTAAGTTTTGGTCAGTAGAACCCTTCCAACCTGATACTGACATACACGAAAAAAGCTCCACTTTCTTTAAGTTTCCATATTCAACCACTTGGCTTGACATTTAAAAGAAGTACGTCAACTTGGAGAATATTTGGCTCTGAAAGTAATTTGGAGATAAATACAGTACTGAAAATATACTGTACAGGTGGGACTTGTAGATTACTTTTCAAAGTGTAGTCTGCAGTAAAGATTAATCGCATATTATTTAGGAGTGACAATATATTTTGACTGAAACTGATCATTAAACTGTGAGAAATTGAGAAAGAGAGTCCAGAAGCCCATATGAAACTATTTAAAGAACTTTGTCCCAGGTCTCTGAATAGTAATAATCACTGAAGTATATATTGAAAACATGAAGACAATTTTTATCTTAGCTGAATACACGGTTGAAAAGTAAGCCCAGTTTACTCTCTTGACACTACACACTGGATACTCTCGGAAGCAACTTTGTTAAAACATAAGGAAGAAATATTTTGTCTTTTAGTAGGAGTCTGAAGGTAAACTTGTTTTACAGGTTTTTATAAATTTTTCTTCACATGGCAGCATTGGAGCAAATTGGCATCTACGATCTTTGTAAGCCCAAGTAAGACTGAAATAACTGCCACACAGCAACTGTCAATTTAATAAAGGTTACATTCTCTGTGTGCTATTTGATTTAACCAGAATTTTTAATTTATAATAAAATATGAAATATACTTCCTGCCTAATTATTGTTGGGGTTTTCACCAGAAGTTGTCCTTAGTTACAATTATGAGAAAGTAATTTTTAGCAGACAAAATTTCACACCTGACAGAAATAACAACAAAGTACCAAAAGAAAAAATCAATAATGTTTTATTAACATATGCTTCGGAGAAGGAATACATAATAAATAACATTCCCCAAAATATTCCCAAAATAAAGTGGTACCCCAGAGCAAACCAGATGGAGCAGTAAGGCAGTAAGGGAAATGGCAGCACTGTAAGGAAATTGTCAGGAACTGTGTTCTGCCCAGAACGTCAGCCTTTATCTCAGTTCCAGAGAGAGAAAATATCATGCACTTTCAGGATGACATATAAGCAGGGAAAATAATTATTTTTTTAATCCTCAGATCATCTCTCAGATGCTCTTGAACATGGAAATACAGAACCTGGGTCACTTGCTAACAATGTAGACCTTGTTTTGATTCTTTCTTAATTTTCAAACATTTAGAAATTCATTGGCTTTTGTTTGTATTCATTTCAGCATGTGTTTATTAACTACATCAAATTCTTAGCTTAGTGTTTCATATACAGTGTTATCTTTGGCAGAAAATGAAAGATGCATGAACAATTTAAACACTGAACACTGATGTAGAGATGTTGTTACAAACTGATTTCCTCTCATCAAACTACATGGGTGAAAGATGAAGAAACAAAACGCAAAACTATGGTAGTCAACGTAGTGACATACTAAATCATCTTCCAATCATTCTCAATAACTCTACAACTACAGCATGCTATCCTGATGGCCCCATCTGAGTTGATGATTTTTCACAATGTATTTCATGGCTTCCATCCCTACATGAGACTTTATTACTATCACATAGGAATAAAAAGCCATAAAACACTAGAGTGAATTTATCTTGATCAGATGCAATACTTATTTTCTTCACATGATTTCACCACCATTCCAAAACTAACTAATGATTTCATGCTACATTACTGAACATTTTAAACTGCATTTCAATGACAAGAAAGACACTGAAATGGTTACATCACAAATTAACAGAGCTTTAGCCTTTAAACACATTCCTACCTACGAGAATCAAGAAACAATCACAAGACAACCATTTAATCCACTGATAAAAGACAGGACACCACATAAAAATATCACTTCCACATACATCTTTCAACACATAAGGAAAGACGAGACACAAAAGAAACTGGTATAGATTAAAGCTATGAAAGCACCACTACCAGCATCTTTTTAAACCTATTTTTCTTAGTAGCCTCCTTGCAAGCATTCTAAAAAATTTAGACTCCATCCCTAGGACGTCTTTAAGGCATCTGAACTTAATTAGAGAAACAAAGCAAAATTCCCTGCTTATGGCACTGAAACAGCTACTACCACAGAACTGCTAACTAACACAACTCACTCATTCCTGGGACTTCTACCTTCTTGGCTACAATAAATTTACTATAGCTCCGAAGTCCATATTTCTCATGATGAAAGACCAAATGCGACAAATGATAATATACCCTTATTTTCTAAGCCAGACTATGATACTGAGGTCCTGGTCTGAAAACAGTTATTTATTAATGTAATTACTATTCATCTTATTACTACTAATTGGCCAAGTTGAAACACAAGACTCTAGGGTCATTGAAAAGTCAATATAATAAATTTAACTGCCATTAGAAAATAATTTTGCTTGCACACTTGCAAGCAAACTTAGCTGCATCAGAAATGACTTCTTAAACTAAAAGTCTCCGTTTTACCAGAAGTATTTTACATTTTCCCAGCCATATAACCCCACTGTCATAGTACCAATATTAATTCCAATTTACTCTTGACACTAGAAATAAAAATTAACTCAGGTTTGATTTATATACTGCTATCCTTTCTTGCCTACCAGATCCTATTTCTTGCATAATATAATGTTGATAGCAGAGAAAAGAGCAAAAAATCATTAAATGAAAGGAAGTGCATAAATAAATTCAATTATCATGCATAAAACATGCAAATGATTTAAAGACTGCATATGAAACTCTAGTTTATATTCATTAATCTCAGGTTGCACTTTTGAGGGTGAAAGAGACACTAATCGGGTCCAGATTAATGCACTCCCAAACCTTCCAATTTGTTTTCAGGAGAGGATTAAATGAGATGCATTAAAATAAACACAGCTGCTCAATTTCCCCAGCCCTGCTTCATTTGTGGGAAAAAGACAAGCTAAAAAGTATATTGCAGGCTTGGTGTACTGAGAATTTGTGCTTTTTCTGTGCTCCTCAGGACTGCCACTTACCCACTGCAGCTCCTTAGTTGTGTGGTTTTCTAAGCGGTTGGGTTGGTTTGGCTAGGAAGATAACTTTGCGCTGGAAACTAGACCAATAAGCAAGCTAGTGTCTTGACATGAAGAACAGGCCAGGAGTGTTTGGCGTCTCCTAAACCGTGCCGTTTTCTTCCCTTTCCTACCCTGAATGATGCTGCAGATGGAGCATTTTAAACTGCATGCAGTCCATTCTTAAAGGGCTCAGTCTGAAGCTAGCATGTTGCTGCCATGCAGCTCCTGTTAGGTGGGAAAGGGATTCACAAGAGGACTTGAGCAGTTCAGCTTTGCTCACCCAGCCAGCAGAAACAATACATAATGGGGCAAACCCTTTTGACCCACCACCTGCTCTGGGTTTTGCTGCCCAGGGACTCCTCCCAGCCTATGCTGAATTAGCTGGGTATAAAAGAGCGGTTCCCCAGCTCCCCCCTCCCTCTCCCACTAGAGCTGGGTGCTGATCCCTGCCACTTGCCTTTGTGCAGGGGGCACCCAGGGACAATCAGCACCCACAACAGCAGACAAAAGGGAAATGATGCTCCAGGGGCTGATCCTGCCTCAGGAGAAAAAGGAGCACATGGGAAGGGAAATAGGGTTTTGGCCCAGAAAAATAAAGTAGGGAAGGGCCCTTTCCCATCTACTGGCAGAGGAAGGTTAAACAAAGCAAACAAAAAGAAGGTCACCAAACTAATTTCATACTGAAACCAATGAATTTGGATGAGAGACCCAAAGGGGAAAGGTTAGGGTGGTATCACTGACATAATTTCTCTTCCCTTTTGTTAGAATGATTGGAAATTAAACCCCTCCAGGACAATGGGACACACTTTCAGCAGGGTGGGAGGCATTTAAAATCTTACATTTCTCTGATTTTTTAAATGTTATCCTCCTGAACTACAGACATTACACCATAAAAGCACAAAAACACATACATGTAGACTCAAACATATATTCACATATATGGCTTCAGACACAGATCCACTTCTGTTGACAACCTGATTCTAAGAGCTTTTTATTAGAATTAATTTCTGCAGGTTTGCAGATGCTAAATTAGTTGCAATAAATAACAACAATAAGGCTGAAATCTGTCAACATCTTGACAAATATTCACAGAGCCATTTAGTCAGGAAATACGCTTATGATATTCATTGCTCCTAAAAGAGAAAATGATTATACAGTAACTAAACCCTAAGTAAGAGCTAAAGATATTCACCTCATGAAGCCATTTCTCAACTAGCCCCTTGGCACTTGCTGGAATTATTCGCAGCACGAGTTCTACTTTTTCATTTTCTGCTGACTCCATGTGGGTAATTTCTTTCTCGTGATTAAAAGTGAGCTTGGCAATTCCTTCAAAGCATTTCCTTCAGTGTGGTTGGACTTGGAGTGGATCCTTTATCTCAGAAAGGATTCCTGAGAGACTGCTGTTGCATCAAGAGAAAAATCCTGAAGAACAATAAAAAATTAACTTTAGAAGTACTTTATAAACATATTTTAAACCAACACCGACAGCAGACATGAAATGGACTGTTTACCTTGGAAAGAATAGTCTTTTCTTTGCCAAATAATCATTCAAGGCCCTCCTGAATGTCATCCAAAACTGATTCTGCCTCCTTCAACTTATCCAGCATCTGGGGCTGCGAGATAACCCTCATGGCATTGGTCTCCTTCACTGACTCCTTCGTTATTAGCCTCCTGGTGGGTGAGATAGAATACAGTGAATGTAATAACCATACTTCACACAACAGGCTTTCTCTCTCCTTTTTAAATTGAAAATCCCCTTATTACAAAACAAGGGGTGTTCTTTTTCTTCTACCTTTAAGTAGGACTGCCACATTCATTGCTTTTTACAAAAACGCAGCTGCTTTTTAAGCTACAGATAAATAGAATCTGCTAGGCAGTAATTCTGCTCAGTCTGAATGCATTATTTTCTAAGTCACTTTAGCAAGGGACTTTTTATTATAAACTGGAATGAACAAGGAAAGTCCTTTTCTCAACTAATTACGACCTCTCTTTGTTCTATTCTATTAACTTACAATGCCAGATTGATCAGTTTCTTTTTGGTTGTTGTTGTTGTTGTTTTGTTGGTTTTTTTCTTCAGCCAGTTCAATAAATTAACGTGCTTTTCCTGGGAAATTAGACAGCTAATTATTAAGGCTTTATAGATTAATGATGAAAATATAAATAACACGGAACAATAAAGAATGGTGTATCAATAGCATTCACACAATCCCTTTGATGTGCACAATGCAATCTCTCATTTTAACACCACTAATGCATGGACAGGAGTTACTTTGACTCAATCAACAGAATGTTCTTCTCATAAAGATTTGTTAAACTAGGTATTTTTTAAGAACTGAGGAAAAAGAGCAAAGCTGAAAGACAGACAGTTTTTCATTTACCCTGGCACCCATTTTGTTTTCCTTTTGATGGACTTTCAATTCATAAATATCATGAATGACAGAATAGAAAACAAAGCTATAAAACCAGACATTAAACCAGACAGACATCAGGACTTCTATTGTTAATTTTCCTACTATAAAACATAATGTAATATGTTTTATTTGAAAAATAGTTGCATTTATTTTTTTTTTTCAATCTATTACTTTCAATAATTGCTTAGTTTGTGAAGAAGAGATTGATCTTCTCCAGTAATACCAAAAACCAGAATAGAGTTCTGAGGTTTCAGGATCTTCAGTGATCCAGGAAGCTTGGCTTTGGCAAACGAAAAACTACTCAACTACATTCCAAGTGGACAACAGATTTAGCTCAATTGTTGTCCACAGCTTGTGACTACTGGTAAACAACCACTCCAATAAATGAAATGTAAACACAGATATCACCAGAGTTCCTTTTATGCAACATATACTGTGATAAACAGAATTTAAATAAATATGAAGGAAAAAAAAATCCTTTCTCCTTATTTTAAATTTGCTTTCAACACTTATGAGCTGAAAATCATCAGTATGGCAGAAAGACCTGTTGATGGAACTGCTTCTGTCCAACATTCAGGATTACAAATTAGAAAGAGTCCTGGAAACAAGAATTTGCCCAGTGAAAGAAAACTCACACTGCCACCATCTTAATAATTCAAAATAATCCCATCCCTATGTATTTGTGCCTGAAATATTATGAGGTGTATTTATTATACATTTTTCAAGCACCTACTGTAAGAATAAATATACATACAGTCAAAACCAGTGTCATTGCTTTCAGATGCTAAAACTGGCTACTTCCATGAGGCATTTTAGTCCTCTGATACACCTGGCAAAATACAGACCCTTTGGGGTTGTTGGTCTCCACATCTGGAGGGCAACCTGGATGCTGGAGTGCCAGGAGAAGACTAATTCATGTAGAATTAAGAGCAGCAAAACTGTTCTACTAAGGAATAACTCTCCATATATCAGTTGAGCTTCCACAATGTGAAAATAAATCAACATGTCCACACAAATATTCATTTAATTGACTACACTTTAATTTAGTGACAAGCTGTGTGTTTGTATACATTCAGAGTATGTCCTTTCATATTATCTCCAACAATATCTAGCCCACTGTCAATTTAGTTATCTTTTGTACTAAACTCATAAGATAATTTTGAAATGCTTATTCCTGCTTGCCTAAAAACATATCTGGAGCAGTCTATTTAGCAACACTTCTTTTCATGATGTGACAGTAAGGACACTAAAGAAATAACAAGAAGTCTTGCCAATGTGGGATACTGTTTTCCTTAAAATAATTTCAGGATTAATGATATTCTCAGCATATGACTGGCTTTGAGATTACTGAGTATCCCACTTTTAACACTGCTAATATCAATGATATCGATACATTTTGACTTAAAATGAACCTATTTTATTTCAGCTGAATTAATTTAAAACAATGAAATAGACTGCACCCTGTGCTCATCCTCGGCTGAGAACTGACAGTATTTTACAGAAGCCAAGGTTATGATGGAAAATGATTAAGAGACTCAACAAACATTATAGCCCTACTAGGGGCCCATTTACATACAGGGACAAGATCTATAAACTCCCAGTTCTGTGCTTAATCCATCTGATCGTGTTCCACTACACTTTGGAAGGGAGAATCAAAATGAAAATGAATAGAGGAAAATGAAAAAAACCCACCACCTGTCCTTACCAAATCTCTTTGTAGCTACTGCTTTGTCTTGTTATTATATATAAGTTAGTTGCGTATGTCTTCAAATATATTTCTTGCATGATTAAAAGCAAATGTTTTACAGGTGCTTTTTGATATGCATTCACTTTCAATATTCTGCAGGTCATTCAACAGCATATCAGAAATAAGTAAACACAGACTTAAAACACTGGGGAAGAAACAGCAGCAAAAGCCAATTTTATGACTTTCCCTTTCCTGAAATGAAACAAATCTCTAGGTCCTAACCACATGGGGAATAAGTTAAAAGCCAAAAGCTTACCATTTCTTATTGACAGCTCTCTTCATGCTGTCCTGAAGTTACTTGTGAACCATAACTTGAAGTCACTACTCCAACATACTCTGCATAAGTCACTAAAATGAAAACAGACATCCAAATGAGTTGAAAAGAAAGCACATTCTCCTAGATATAAAATATTTGCCAACAAAATACTCTAGTAAATATTTTGCTAAAAATATCCTTTATCCATTTCCAGTTTTACTTCACGAAGTACAATGAGAAACAAGGCATGCACAAATACTTGTTTGCCTTTCTCACTCGAATGATTCACTAACTTGCTGGAAGGTTGTGTCTCTATTGTTTCTGAGCTCACATCATAAAAACTAAACAGAAGTCAATTTAAGACAATGAACTTGAAACTTTATTTCCCCTTTGGTATTCTAAGGTGGCACAGCTAAGTTGGAAAACTTTTAAATAATGAAAGTCACTGAAGCTTAAATCACATACAATAGTGAAAGCCGAGATGCTAGATGGAGATGAAATGTAAAAGCTAATTAAATTCAACAAGAGCCTCTCAAAGGCAACATACCAGCTTAGCTCCCATGCTAATATTTCGTTTTGAAGGGTGCAGTAAATGGAAGGCCTTTCATGGCTGCACATTTCACAATGTGATCCCCCAGCTAAACCTGAGAAGGGAGAAAAAAAAGAAAAAAAAGATTAGATGCATGGATTACTGTACTGAATAGATGCCAAGGCCAAGATAAAAAGAATAGATAAGTTAGGGCTTCTGAGGAGCTAAATTTGAAGCCAACCAGCAAAATGGATTGAACCTTATTACCCCTAGTCACTGAGAAATTCCCTAGACAGTTGGATGTAATTTGAAAAGGTCAGAAAAAAATTTCCCTCACAGTATTATTGCTTCATGGTTTAAGGGTGCACGTTTGTGAGATGCCAGCTCTAATAATTTTTATTGACTTGCTCTAGAGAGAGATGCACAAGGAGGCAAGACAGATGGATAAGACATATCCTACCTTTGTTTCCAGTTCTAAACATACCACAGTGTTAGGTATGTTTTAGTATTAATCTTTTCAGTTTATCCTTTGCCATCTCTGAGAAGAATGTGTCTTGTTTCTTTAAGTCAGCCACAAAAGGGGGAAAAGAACCTGTGCATATCACTGGAAACTTGCTATAGTTTCTCATATTTAATCTGAATGTTCACTGAATTCCATGTGAATCTGAAATATATAACTGAAATTCAGTAAGTGTAATAGTATTTTTTAGTTAATTTTAGGTAAGCTCAGTTGATTTTTCTTTTCACCTAAAGGGGAGCAGTTCTCACTGAAGAGATTATAAGAATGACCTTCAACACACTGACAGTACAACCTTTGTTATCAGTGTGGCTGTCCTGGAGGGAAAAAAAGAAGAAAAAAAAAAAGAAGGCAAAGCCACCCCAATTAAAAGCATTAAATTCATTGACATAGCATACACAGATGCTCATAATCAAATATGAACATTTGCTAACATTACACTTACAGTCAATTTTTCTGTCATGCAATTAAAATCAAAGGAGATTTAACAACACAAAAGCAGAATTACTCACCCCAACCCCTACAAAAGTTTAATTAACATTAGATTTTCTTTTGCTCAGAAGGCATTTTGTCTTCCATTCGTAATACAAACATCAGTATTCTCTGTATCCTGGCTCTGAATTCACTGCAAACGCAATTTTAATGGTCATTAAAGTACAGCTCTATGAGCTCCTTTACTGTATTATGTTAAAGGAGCCCACCTGAAAGATGACTAAAACTGTTTCCACTTGGATAAGAAAGCAATTTCCATATGGTCATGTTCCCTCCCTCAAAGCTCTGTATATTCCTAGAGTAACAAGAAATTGCAGTGGAAGAGTCACATATATATTCACTCCTCCAGAACTTTGTAACTCTGAAAGGAAACCAAAAAGGCTTAGCTGCAGTGAGGAACAAAAAGCATGGGAATTGTTCCTCTAATGGAAGCTAATACTTTCAATTGAAATAGGACTGTTCCCCAATAGAAAAGACACACGGACCACTTAAATGTAATACTTTCTTCAACAATTTAGGAAGCTTTTGTAAAAGGACGTGCACCTACATATACAGAAATATGGAAAGGGGACTGGAGAGAGGTAATCCCATACTAGATTTATAACAATTGATTTAGCCTCTACTACTCTTTCTTTTTATCACACTCTCACTGTCAGCTTCAGGATGATGCTGAAACAGAACAGGGATTTAGACTTTTTAAGATCACAGATGTGCAACTACAGAGGAACTTTCTGGTTTCTGTGGCAACATGACAACATTGTGATTTTTACTCCTCTTTTTAACAACAGGAGTGACAGAGAAATTAAGTTCTGTCATCCTCATGAACCCTGTGAGTCTTTTTACCAAAAAAACTCCAACCCTTATTCATCATTAAAATAGAGAATGGTCAAGAAAAAGAATAAATTATTTTCAGAGGCTCAATTTCCAATGCATATTCCTCCAACATATTTTGATGTCATTTGCAACACAGTAATGTGATGCCACCTAATTCTTTGTGAGATCCTCACTTCGTTTCCTCCCCTTTTTTTTTTTCCTGTCTCCTCAAGAGCAACAAGTATTAAGAAACGAGTAACTCTAATCTTGATTCATCATACAGGATGTAGAAAGGAAGGATAGCAAGAGTGACAGCACTTCTTCTGCACTATTAGTAGAATACACTGTCCGAAGGGCCCAAGTAACCCCATCAAGGACTTGTTGGCTGGGCTTTAGATTCAACAGCTGTAGTTTCTGTGGGAAAAGGGATTCTGCCTTTTGGTGGTTTTGCTCTTCCCTGCTGACCATTTCTTAAGAGTGGCATGGGACATTTTATCTATTTATTCTTAGAAGAGATGCTGCATGATCTTACATATTGTCCCTTCTCTCAAATCAGCCAGGATTCAAAGACTACTTAAAGAATGGAAAGAGTGTCTTCAAGATTTTTTTTTTTTTTTTAAAGCTTAATATAGGGAGAAAGCACAGAAAACATTCCAGCTTCCTACACCACACTGAGGCAACTAAGTCCATTTTGCATTCTACAGAATAGATCTGTTCAGTTTTCTTAAAGATCTTTTCCAACCTAAATGATTCTATGACTCTATTAAATATTTACTAACAATTTGCTCTGTCTTAAAAGCCACTCTGTGATGTGCATAATTTCAGCCTGTCAATTTTGTGTTATACAAAAGAATTAAAGCACTCAAAACAGGCTGTAGTACACTTACTAGATATAATGTTTATGTCTTAAATAAATGCCCACTCATTCTTAAAATAAATTGCACCTTCTTAAAGACACAAGACTAAACTCGTGGATTTACTATGCATAAAAATCCATCTTACCAAATTCTCTCATGCAAACACAGATTCAGCTTCCAGCTCCAGTATCGTTAAAATTAACTTCCAACAAATTAGGTTTGGGAACAATAAAATGCAATTAAAATACTGTATGTACTGCAGCAGAAACTGATAAGATTTTATGCATGTTTGATGGGCAGAAAGAGAAAATCTTTTCTTGTAATTAAAGTCTCTAATGAAGGGATGTCTAAAACCATGCATAGGTACAGGAAGAATTTATAACCAATTTTTTCTCTCAGCATTTGAACCATCAATTCAATGTTGACTGATTACATGGAGAATGCAAACCTGAATATTTGCATCATCAACAGCTGCTAACACATGAATTTTTCTGTCTTTCTGAGCCAAAAAGTGAATATATCTTCCTAATTAGTGGTCATTTTCAGCGGCCAGAAAGAATCTTTCTTCAGTGAACTGTTGAATCTTCTCCAAGTTGTACACACAACAAATAATTGCATAACAAAATTGAGTCCTTGGTTTTGCACATTTATTTTTTGTTATTAGAACTTCAGTGGTCAAGCCATGCCACTCAAGTCTTGGAAGGCAGATGCAAGGACTGTGAGAAGGAAGACCTTGGGCTCACTGTAGGACAGGATCAGGTTCAAGTTCATCTTAGGAACCTGAATGTGCACAAGTCCATGGGACATGAAGAAATCCATCTATGTATCCCAAAGAAAATGGTGAATGAAGTTGCTAAACCACTGTCCAGCATATTTGAGAAATCATGGCAGTCAGGTGATGTTCCCAGTGACTGGAAAAAGGGAAATATAACCCCCATTTTCAAGAAGGGGAAAATGGATGACCAGGGGTATTACAGACCAGTCAGCCTCACCTCTGTGCCTGGCAAAGTCTTGGAGCAGATCCTCCTGGAAGGCAGGCTAAGGCACATGAAAAACAACAAGGTGCTTGCTGACAGCCAGCATGGCTTCCTGCCTGACCAGTCTGGTGGCCTTCTATGATGGGGCTGCAGAACTGATGGACAGGGGTAGAGCAGTTGATGTCATCTACCTGAACTTGTGCAAAGCTTGCACTGTCCTGCATGACATCCTTGTCTCTAAACTGGAGAGACATCAATTGAATGGATAGACCAGTTCGTGGATGAGGAATTGGCTGGATGGCTGAATGCAAAGAGTTGTGGTCAACGGCTCAATGTCCGATTGGAGACCACTAACGAGTGGTGTCCCTCAGAGATCGCTGTTGGGACCGGTCTTGTTCAACATCTTTGTCACTGACATGGACAGTGGGATTGAGTGCGCCCTCAGCAAGTTTGCCGATGGCACCAAGCTGTGTGGTTCAGTTGATACACTGGAGGGAAGGAATGCCATCCAGAGGGACCTTGACACGCTTGTGAGGTGGGCTGATGCCAACCTCATGTTTAACCCTGCCAAATGCAAGGTCCTACACCTGGGTCGAAGCAATCCCAGGCACAGCTACATGTCGGACAAAGAAGAGATTCAGAGCAGCCCTGCAGAGAAGGACTTGGGGGTGCTGGTCGATGAGAAAATGAACATGAACCAGCTCCAGTGTGCGCTCACAGCCCAGAAAGCCAACCATATCCTGGGCTGCATCAAAAGGAGTGTGACCAGCAGGTTGAAGGAGGTGATCCTGTCCCTCTAATCTGCTCTTGTGAGACCTCACCTAGAGTATTGTGTGCAGTTCTGGTGTCCTCAACATAAAAAGGACATGGAACTGTTGGAACAAGTCCAGAGGAGGGCCATGAGGATGATCAGGGAACTGGGGCACCTCCTGTATGAAGACAGGCTGAGAAAGTTGGGGCTGTTCAGCCTGGAGAAGAGAGAAGGCTGTGTGGAGACCTCATAGCAGCCTTCCAGGATCTGAAGGGAGCCCATAGGGATGCTGGGGAGGGACTCTTCATTAGGGACTGTAGTGACAAGACAAGGGATAATGGGTTCAAACTTAAACAGGGAAAGCTTAGATTGGATATAAGGAAGAAGTTCTTTACTGTGAGGGTGGTGAGGCACTGGAATGCATTGCTCAGGGAAGTTGTGAATGCTCCATCCCTGGCAGTTTTCAAGGCCAGGTTGCACAGTCTGGCGTTATATGGTTTAGTGTGAGGTGTCCTTGCCCATGGCAGGGGCCTGGATCTTGGTGATCTCGAACCCTAACTGTTCTATGATTCTATGATAACTTATTTTGGAACCCAGAACATATGGGTGAGTGAAATGCTTGGCTGCCCTACAAAAGTATAATGGAAATGCAGCCAAGTTCTCCTCCTGCTGTTCATCATCTCATCACACAAAGTAAAGTTTATGTAA